CACCCACACCCACACCCACCCACACACACACAACACATATGCATATACATGTCGGTTCCTGTCCACGGCCCAGATCAGAAGGCTCTCATTAGAAGGCCCCCATGCGGTGGCCATTCTTCACCTGACAAGCTGCCAACCTTCTTCTGCTGGTCCGCTCCTTTAAAGTTGTACCACGAGCAGTAGGCGCGAGCGTTGATCAGACGACCGCCTAGGGTCGACCTGGAGGGGGTGGACCATATTCCGCGGATGTACGGACGTACGGATGGACGGACATACCGATGGACGGGCAAATGATGAAGTACATGGTGAGATACCGGGAGGCCGGACGCTATAACAAGTTTGCACACAACACACCTACCCATGAATGCGTTTACGTAGTGTATTATTATTACACTACACTAATGCGAGAAAGGTGCTTACGAAAAACATGGATACAGCGCTGTTCCGCCATTAGACGAAACAAACATTCCAACACTGACGCGTGAGAGCGCCCAGAGACAAGCTATATCCAGCGCATATCCATACGCACATAGCATTTAGCATTTTTGGCACAGTTGCGAGCAAGTGTGCATGTGCATGTGTTCAACTCAACACACACCGCCGGTCTCTCCCCCTACCCCCCCCTATCCCCTCCAGGAGCCTGGTCCTGACTAAACCTAAACGTGGCGCTCACCTCGTCCTTGCCGTCTGCAATCTCCTCGTATACGGTCCTGTCCGCCTGTCGTACGGAGTGTGTACGACAATTACGTAGACGCATGGTATGCACGCAGTGCCGCAGGACGCAAGTAGAGGGCCCATTAATTAAGCGATGAACAAAGGACAAACCAAGCACGGCTCAATCTCCAACAATAACAACATCACAACCGCGGCAAGTAAGTAAGAGGCAGCCGGCTGGCTAGCCCACCCCAACCACGGGAAGAGGCCACAAGCGCAGAGAAGTCGGCCAGATGGAGAGAGGAACACGCAGCAAGCGTTTAGTAGATACTTGATACATACGAATGTACAAAATTGCACAACCAAAACCAAATCAATTTTTTGTTATATTGTTGTTATTTTAAGAGTAGAGCGGTAGGCTTCTGAGCCACCAAATCAAAGAATTAACACGCGCGCGCCTATGAAAAGAGACGACCTTGCAAGGGCGGCAAAAGACACCACAAAGCATAAACATCATGACAACCAAATACGTCTCCAGCCAAATCTACGCCAAGACGTGTGTCAAAGGGTTCCCGCAAGGGGCCGGAGAGGTCCCTCCGGGTCTTCCGCTGACCTTCCTTCCGCTCTCCGCGCTCCACCCCGCAGCTCCCGCCACTCTGGGCTTAGCGCGACTAGACTAGACTACAGACCGCCGAGTAATGCAACACCGAGACCTAAGCGCCCACTGCCAGCAGGCACCCCCTTGGAACTCCCCCTTCCACACCCCTAGCGCACCCCCTCGCCAACACACGGCCCCCAGGTCGCACCCCCCCCCACCTACCGCGAGCGCCTCCCGGCTCTGATCCACGTACATTGGCACCACGGTGTCGCCCAGCCGCAAATGGCCACCGTCAGGAGTCTGTAGGTAGGTAGGTATGCAATGTGGCGCGGGGTCCGGGATGGAGCACGTTGAGCTGGGGTGGAGTAGGGTAGCGTGTGTATGTGTACGTGTATGTGTGGAGTGGGATGGCGAACACCGGCAAGGCAAAAAGGGGTAATGGTAGGTGGGCAGGTGGAGGGTATGGCAACAAAAAGCGGTGGTATTGGAGGTAGCGGTAGTAAGATCCATGCGGGCGGGGGGGGGAGGAGGTGGTGCAGGATTTCCGATATATCTATATCTCTATCTATCTATCTATCTATCTATCTATCTATCTATATCTCTATCTATCTATCTATCTATATTGGACCGCCTCCTCCTCCTCTCAACCACCCACCCAACCTGCTGCTTCATGATCATCCGGAAGAGTGTCGACTTGCCGGCTCCGTTTCCGCCAATGATTCCCACCACCGCACCTACGGACAAGTGTTGTGTTATATTATACAGGATACTCATATAAACACACATGCAGCACTTCTTTTAGCTATGTGGGTAGCATTTCATGTGTGCATGATGAAGCGGCGCGTGTGCATCCTTGGCACAGGCGTGTCGGGTTGTCGGGACATCTCCTAGGGGGCACCGCCCCCGGGGGTCTTGAATGCATCCATCTGCACAACGTAAGGAATTTTGCATTCTCGCGTGTAGAGGCAGCAGCAACAGGCGCAGCAGCAGCAGCAGCAGGCGCAACAGGAAAAGGCGCAACAGCAACAGGCGCAACAGGAACAGCAACAGCAGTCACACGACAGGGGGACTGCGAGCACCGGCCCCCCCACCGCGTGTGTTCATTCTCACCCGGCGGGATGTTGAAGACGGCGTCGTCGATCAACAACCGGTCATCAAAGGACTTCCGAAGACCCTCCACCTTCACGTAATCGAGCAAGCAGGACACAAGCACGCGAACAAGGCGTCGTACAAGTCGTTAACGGTTGCAGACACCTATCGTTAATGCCTTGCTGCATCTCCTTACATCGTTAAGAGCTCTCTTAGCACACAACATAGTGGCATTACCTCATCGTGACTTCTAAACACGTATCATACATATACACAAAAGCTTGCGACACGGGCAGCCCTGCCGTACAATACACGTGCTCAGTACATGCATGTATGCCCGTACACGTACCTATTTACGCACACACACACACAC